CCGACTTTTCACCAGTTTTAGGCTGTAGCAACTAGAAATGGTTAAATGCCTATTCTGAAACCATTGTTGTTTTTGCAGGGGATGGAGAAAGATAGCTGAGATCACTCTCATAGTCTTGACTCAAGGGATTTCTTAACAAACAATACTAGATGAAGCCAAATTTATTTTGTACAACAGTAATTCTCCTCCTTTCCCTTTGCCGAACTATAGCTGACCTCAATTCAGACAAACAAGCCCTTGTTGGCTTGATTTCTGTTGTTCCTCATGGCCGAAAAGTTAACTGGGATCCGGCTAACCAAGTCTGCAGTTCATGGGTTGGCATGCATCACTTGTACTTTGGATGGTACCCGTGTGCTTGGTGTCAGAGTCCCAGTTGCTGGATTGTATGGTCCAATTCCAGCAAACACTCTCGGCAAGCTGGGTGGATGCCCTCGTGATCCTTAGCCTTGGGTCCAACCGCCTCAGTGGGAATCGTCCCTCTGATTCCTCACCTTGCTTGATTTGTCCTTCAACTCCTTCACTGGCAACATTCGAGCCACAATCCAAAATTGAACACGTCTCACTGGGCTGAATCTCCAGAACAATTCCCTCACTGAATCTATTCCTGATATCAACATTCCAAGGCTTTTGCATTTGAAATTGAGCTACAGCCACCTTAATGGTTCAATTCCTCCTACCCTCTAAAAATTCCCTACTTGGTTCCTCTGAAGGAAACTTGATGTTATGTGGGCCACCACTGAAGCACTGTTCTTTGATCACTCCGTCCCCGAATCTTCCACCGCCAGGGCCAATAGTCCCCTTGAAAACAGAAAATGGATCAAAGAGGAAACTTAGTACAGGGGGCTGTCAATTGGTGGTTTTTGTCTCAGTTCTGGTGTTAGTGCTGTGCTGTTTGAAGAAAAAAGACAGTGAAGGCAGTGCTGTAGTGAAGATGTAAAATACATGCCATAATGCATATCGATAAAGAAGAAAGTTGAGAAATAACATATGACAGATTGATTTTTGGATCTACTCAAATTACAGGTGACTTCAGCGACCCTTCTTTAAAGGGCATGCTTTCATTAATTCAATTAGTCTCTCAGTATAGACATGGACATTTTATCATTTCAACAAGCATCATCCAAGTATTGTGCTCAAAGTAAGAAAGTAAACAAACCCACGAAACTGAGTGTCAATAGAAATATCAATAGCAAGTACCAAACTTTTAACAACAATAACCAAAATTTGGAACGTTTATCAATGTAACTTCATCTTCTGAAATTTTAAGGGAGCACATAGAAGACATCAATTTAAATTTACAAAAAACAGCTGTGTAAAATTACCTTCTTTCATTGATGAAACACTCAATTTGCACCTAGGTCCGTAACGCACTGTCACTGCCTTTAACGAGAAACTTAGAAGCTACGGTACGACCGACCACATTCCAGGACCAAGTCACCACGTCAATAATCTGCTGCTTCCCACGCCATCAATACCCAAATAGACTCGTATCCATGAGCTATTGCAACATATTTAACATGTGATCAGTATTTACACTTTCCCGCCTAATCTAACCAACTGCCCCATCATCAATCCAGCAACTACTTAATAGCCCAATGACAACATGACACGTGGACCACTAAAAAACAAAAAACAAAAAAACTCTACTTTTACAGACTTTATCAGCAGTATCCAGCTGTATCATTAAGAGAAAATCGAAAAACAATCAGAAGAGAAAATCCAACGAATCCAAAAACCTGAGAGAATCGATGACTCTGCAAGCTGCAACAATGGAAGAGGTATATCCCATTCCGTTTCGTTCTTGTCTTTCAGCGTTTCTTTCTGGTCACTTTCTTGGATGGATCTGGGTCGTAGGGTTGGAGAAAAAGGTTGGGGTTTTGGGTTTTCTGGGGTTTTTCTGGGGTTTTTGGTTCTTCTATTTTCTTTCTTCTTGCCAAAATTCTGACTCAAACATCACAACTTTCAGGAGGAACCATCAACACCAACTAATGCCTTACTTGATCTGCAAGATCTCTATCTCTCTTCCCCCGACTCTCCTAAGGTACATCTCTCTGTATATTTTTCTATTAATTTGTTTGTAAATTTTTCTTTTAATTTTTCTGTAATTTTTTCTTTTAATTTTTATGTAATTTTTTCTTCTAATTTTTCTGTAAATTTTCATCACACTTTTCTTGGATGAATCTGGGTCGTAGGGTTGGAGAAAAAGGTTTGGGGTTTTGGGTTCTTCTACTTTCTTTCTTCTGGCTAAAATTCTGACTCAAACATCACAACTTTCAGGAGGAACCATCAACACCAACTAATGCCTTACTTGATCTGCAAAAACTCTTTCTCTCTTCTCCCGACATTTCTTTTAATTTTTCTTTTAATTTGTTTGTAAATTTTTCTTTTAATTTTTATGTAATTTTTTTCTTGCAATGTTTCTTCTAATTTTTCTGTAAATTTTCATCACACTTTTGTGTGTGTATACTAATCCAAAACTTCTAAGTTTAAGTTTGGTTAAAAATTCCTAATTTATTCAATGAATTGCACGCATGGTATATATTAAAAAATTATTTAACACACTAACAAATGTAATGGATGGGCTAAGATTAGAACTCCTTAACTAATCATTAACAAAAATCCTTATTGGAGAAGTTCCCTGGCGTAAAGGGTTTGGCTCCATTAAGAACTTTATGTTAGAATTGGTTAATGACTTATAATTTAGTTATTGAATTGCATGTACGGTATATTATTTAAAAAAAAATTAATTAACCCACTAACATATCTAATAACTTTATGTTAAGGATTGTTCTACGACTTCTACTCTTGTTTAACCTACTACCATATCTAGTAGATAACTGAGATTAGAACTCTTTAACCGATCCTTAACTAAAATCTTTATTAGGGAAGTTCCTTGTTGTGTATATATATATTGTAACGAGTTTGATGGTGCATGAATTCTCAGGAATCAACCCCACTGGCCACATGGGAAGCATTGGAGATTGACCTGGCTTCATTTAAAAAAAAATTCGAAGCAGGGGTGGCTGCATCTAAAAAGGACAAGGAAGCACTGGAAATTGAGCTGGCCAAATCTAAAAAAGAAACAGCTTTTAAGGATGGACAATTGGAATATGTATTGGATTCTGTTTTTTCTCTCTTTGTTTGTCTGTTTCATGTACATATTCAACCTAGTCTAATTGATGTCATCTTTCTTCTTGTAGATGATGGATCTGTATATGAAGCAGTCTGTGGGAGAGAAACAATATTCAACCATTGGAGAGGAGACTGACTCTGTTTCAGAGGAGATTGACTTGCTGGAATTTCTGGGTGTCTCAAATGATGTAGAGCTGGGTGTCTTGGATGATGGAGAGCTGGCTGACTCGCTTACTGACTCAGATGAGTAGCCTGTAGATAGGCTTATGAAAATACTATTGGCAGGTATATAGGTGTATAGGTATATAGGTATATGGCCTTTTCAAGTGTAAATGGATTGTTTGTTGTTACTGTTAAGACTTGTTCTTATGTGTGTATTGTTTCTGTTTTCTCTTTCAGAATTATTGTCTATTGATGTTAGATGGATAAAAACTACTAGCATCACCCAGTAGGAGATTTAGGCTGATTCATGAATCACACATCCTAGAGATAAAACAAATGCTTGCTGGAAAAATTTTGCAAGTTGGTTCGTGATCATGTCCCAAAACAAAGGTTTACAAGCCTACTTATGAAGCTCTACTAGTACTACCCTGACTACTAAATGTAATTCATGACTCCCTGCACATAACCCTTTCTTTGAAACAACATTATGAAACATTGTTTGGCTTGCTACTACCAGTGCCAGTCCATGCTGCTTTTGATTGAGACCCTTCACTGGCGTGTTTAGAATTACAGATAATTGACTGTGATGTCCTAGCACACACACACTGAAGGCATGGAATGCCCAGAATGGTGGAGTAGCCGCTATTCTTGTTGCAGATGGCAGAAATGAATCGTTGATTACCATACCATAGACACTCCTGAAGTAGAAAATGCGGAAGAAAGAGGTGGCTGGCTGGCAGGCAGCCTACCCCCAACTCATATTTAGCTCAACTGAAATTTATTATTATATAATTATTGTTTGATGAGGGTTCAAAAATGCATATTTATTGAAGTGTTTTGAATGCTTCAAAAAGTGTTTATACCATTCAGTTTTATTTTTCATTATTGTTCTCCAAAATGATCATACCATTCACGTTGCAGAATTTTCATTATTGAATGCTTTCATGACTGTTTGTTTAGTGACATAAGGCTAGCCAGTACTTGGCCTTTTCGTAAATCTGGGGAAGAGTCTGCCTGAGCAGCTGCTGCTTTCCAAGTCTATCTTATTTTTTCTCTATTGAATTGTGAAACTTAACTTGCTTCCGATTTTTACTGAAGAAAAAGAAATAAGTTACTGAACCTAACAAAAAAACTTCATACTTTGAACAAAAAAACTGTCAAAGAAAAAGCTTCATACTTCCAACAAATACTCAATTCTAATGTCGGACTTTGATTATATTGGCTCTAATAGCAAGAACATCAACCACTTTTATTTTACTTGGGGCTCTTAACTTTCCGTCCAGCACGTGTAAGGCCATCTTTATTGCTAACAACATCTTATACCAACGTCTCATATTTGACTCCAAAATCCTAGTTGTATAAGGATTCCAAGTTAGTCAAGAAGAGGCCTTACACGCGTCAATGGGTTGTATTAGGACTCCAAAATCCTGGTTGTATTAAGATTCCAAGTTAATAAACAAGAGGATTTCCTTCCTAATCCTTTTTGGTTTGTATTTCTTTTCTTTCCTATTCAAACACCACCTCTATGTATATATATAGACATTATAGTGGGCTACTTATTCTGTAGTTTCCACCCTTCGTACTACTCATAACCCAACTCTTTGCTCCCTCCCTTGTTATTCTTCAAGTTTCCGCCAGCCACCATGACTATGAATATCAAAAGGAGTTATAGTATCCCCTCTAATCATCAAGATCAGTCTGACTTTAAAAGATGGAAAGAATCGCCAAGATCATCATCATCAATTAATGACCTGCCTGACCTTGTATTGGTTGAAATCCTTTGCCGGCTTCCTCTGAAATCCACTTTTCAATGCAAGTGTGTCTCCAAAAGTTGGTATGTTCTCATGTCTAGTCCATATTTTGTACACCTTCGACGTGAACAACATCGTGAAGACCAACATAGTCTGATTTTCTCAGATAATGCGAAGATTCCATCGGATGATGATGGGGCAAACACAAATTTCATTTCAATAAACAAACATCCGGTATTCAAAATACGCACCAAACGCAACTTCTCTTTCAGTTTCCTCCCTTGTTTTGGTTCCACAAGAACAGAACCACTTGTGGTTGGGACCTATAATGATCTAGTTTGTTGCTGCGCAACTTGGCGCAATCAATGTCACTACTACATCTGCAATCCCTACACCAAGCAGTGGGTCGCTCTTCCTCCCACCCCTCAATGTCACAAGGAGGTACGAGCGGGATTCATATGCCTCCCTAAGGAAGAAGATGGTGATCGAAAACAAGAACACTACAAGTACAAGATTGTGCAAATAATAATCCCGGATGACTTAGGTGATAATTCCTCATTTGAATTCAACCTGCAGATATTCTGTTCTGAGAGTGGCAAATGGACGGAGGCAGTTGCATCAAGCCCACGTAGCTTTTGTGCGAATCGTTTGTTGTGCGACGCTGTTGTTCACGATGGGATGCTGTATTGGTGGGGAATTGATTTTATTATTGGTTTCAATCCTTACTCCAGCGATACTAGTAGTACGACTACCGATGTTGATCGTCATATATATTGTTGTCGTTTCATTGGTAAGCCGGTTGAAGAGTTTGCAAGGTCAATTGCTACTCTAAATGTGTGCCGAGGGTGCCTGCGGATATCCCAAAGGTTCCGCTATACAAACCCAGTTGGTAGAACTGTCCTTGGTTTTAGTATCTGGGAGTTCAAAGATGATACTGATCAACTCAACGGCGGCAGATGGTGTTTGTTAGCCAGATTTTACATCAGACAAATCATTGCGAAAGATCTGCTCATCTCTAAATGGTATCATGGCAGGTACTGGGAAAAATATATTATGGTACTAGGTTTCGATCCAAATAACGACGATGTCTTGTATCTAACAATTTGTCAACACCTAGTCAAGTACGACATTTGTACTGGAACCGTAAAGAGGGTTATACTATGTCCTTATAATGGTACTACTTGTCCTGGAAAACGTGTTTTCCCATTTGTGATTCCATGTTGGCCAACGCTACAGCACCAATATGCATACGCATGTCTATCATGACTGAGAGTATATTTATTTTTGATGTATTCTTTTTCACTTACAAATTTGTTTGTGTCACGTTGATATATGTAATTGTAACATTCGTAAATACATTTGGGTTTAAGTTGAAGCATTATGCCGAAGGTGAGATGACCTTGTAGTTCTTGATCAACATATACCAAGCAGCTAGTAACTTGATATTTCTTTTATTTTTGTTATATGCATTTTTCTTGTTAACGTTATAATTAAAACATGGGTTAGTTATAATCTTGCAAAAACAAACGAATGCAACAATTGAAATCCGCTAATCAATTACATCTAAAACTACCCATATCAGTCAGATATTTCTTCTCTCCAACAACTACCAAATCAACCTAAGGGCCTGACCATATATTTTTGCAGTATACAGAATGTTTCGAATTGTATGGCATCAAAGCACTACCCTTGGAAATAATTGAACCGCATCTTTGGAAACATAAAATCCATATCAAATGTGACTTGAGTCAGTAAATGGAAAAACAAAGGCTATGAATTAGGAGTCACGAAATTAAGATAGGGCATGGGCAATGCATTACTCAAAATCTAATATAAACTAAATTAACTTGAACAAAAACTGAAAATTAATGTCTAGGGGTGACTAAATTAGACCTAAGGTTACACAAAAAGAAGAGTTGGATTTCAAAAGTAATTGAACACAACCCAAGTAAGAAATTACCATTACATTAACAATCTCGACATTGAGTTCGCAGACATCCTCTAAGAGGACCGATGTACCCTTGCTAGGATCTTCAATTGTAGTCCTGATGAATGTCTTTGGAGGCACAACCAGCTTGTTGGTAGGGATGGTAAGGAAGCCGGAGGTGGTGGTGTGGGCTTATGGGTATTGTGTTCTTGAGTAATTGAACACAACCCATGTAATGAAAGGTCTTATCAAGATAAGATATACAAGTTGATTGATACAAATTCTATTGTCTTTCTCTACTTTCAAATTCTCTCTACATTTTTCCCTTAGCTATATAACATATATGAGCTTGATTTATTGAATAATGTTTTTGTTAATTGGAATAAGTTTGGTGTGTTTTTTATTTTTTGCATTGTTTCAGCTTAAAAAGAAAATCGGAACTTTAACACTATGACCCTATAGCAATCATCGATCCGCCACTGCACATGATCGCTTGTCTTTTTTTTTATGTCAGCATTGTGCTACTTTGAGCCATGCAGTTAACTAATGGGTCACACATGGACCACGTAACAGTGCAAGACTAGCAGTTGACTGTAGAAAAGTTCACCTATAATTATAGATATTTACTCACATTTCATGTAGGTTTTCACCGTATCATGTATTGATACTAAAAATTAAACGCTAGCTTGATCACATAACATGTTCAAAAAATGTACAATTATGCAAAGCGATACTAAAACCTAAGATATGTAGTTTGATTACATAACATGTTCAAACAACTTAACATTACAATTTATACTAGAGTCCTAACCCAATACAACTCCAAAATGATCATTGCGTTTGCAAGCCTCCAAAGTCAAGTATATCGGCTCTTTACTTGTGTCGTGTGGTTGGTTTTGTCGGATTATCTTCTCGAATGTCTCTACACGAGCAACCATCACATGGCTAATCTTGCTGGGCTTAGTATGTTGGCCCATACAAGTAGCAAGCATCGTTTTCCTATATGGCCCAGTAATATTGGGAGCTTGTGATGATTTGATAGGCCAATGGTTCACTCGTGACCGTTTGAGGCTTTATATGATATTTGATAGGTATATCCTAAAAAATATTGTGTCACGTCTTTTCTAATAAGAATTTATAATTATAAATAAATAAATAAAGGGGGGTGTCACGTCTCTGTTCTGGGCTCTAGCATCTATGGAATGATTAGAAGGCACTCTTCCGAAAAAACTTCATTGATATGAAACAATTAGCAAAGATGAAATGGCTATTTTGAATTCCACCTCCCATAGTAATATGATTTTAGTTGTTTTAGCACCCCCTCCTCAGTAAACACCAAGTTGCATGAAACATAAATATCATATGCATGGCTAAACGTTGGAGTGTACCCTTTTATGAGCCAAATGCATGTGAATAATGTAGGGCTTTATGACTCAAAGTGAACAATCTTTTGTTAAATGGTCATCAAGACTTCATAAATAAGTGATCAATTAACTACTTATTTTCCTTTTCTTTGCTACATTGGTAACGTCAATGTTAACACTAACTGTAAAAGAATGTGTTGTTTTTTTTTCGAGAGTACATGTTCTTTGTAAACGAGGTGGTTAAGTTTTTCTTAAAAAAGAAAAATTTAGAGAATGTGGTTACGTTAACATTGTAAGATGATTGTCACTTTGTTTTCGAGGAGAAGATAAGTTAAGAATATATATTCTTTGTAGACGAGATAATTAAGTTAACTTTCATAAATAATTGTTAATCATTGATGTATATGATATTCACAATAAAACAATTGCTTACGCATATATAGATGACCAACTCTTCTAAGAGTTTTTATTTTATTTTATATATATATATCCTATACTTTCAAATGAAAAACCTAATTTCAAAGTTAACAAATGTGGAGATTCCATCTCCTTGTTTAATAATTATTTACAAAACACCAAAATGGAAAAAGAAAAAAATTGAAAAAAGGAAATTGTTGGTTATGATGATAATAATGGTTATAGAAAGATAGCAACTACCTACTCAAATAAATATAATGGACTTAATTGTCTAATCCAAGTCACTTCTCCTTCAG